CTGCGTGGGTGGGACGGGCAGGCTGCGGGCCCCGGCGCCCAGCGCTGTCTCCTGTTGTTCAAGGGCTCCTCTCACCTGCCGCAGCAGCTGAAGTTCACGACCTCCGACTCCTGCGACCGCATCAAGGACGAGTTCCAGCTCCTGCAGGCCCAGTACCACAGGTACGTGCTCCCGTGTGCTGCCGGCCCGGCTCTGCCCTGCAGCCTCCGCTGGGCTGGCCGGCGGTCGCACGCACACAGGAATCACGCTGGTTCTTCTGCTTCGTTGTTCCGCTGCATGGACCGAACAGGAGCACCAAGGAGGGGACCCAACCGTGTAGCTTGGGTCACCTTTGGCTAGAGGAGGACCTAAGGCCAGGGATTAGTCACGTCCACTTGGGACACCAGCAAGGAGAATGTGCATCTTCCCTCTCCAGCCAAGGTCTTTCCTCCGAGCGCTGTTCGGCCAGGATCGTGCGGAAGCTTGCCAGGCCTCCCACGTCTTGCTGAGAGTTTTCCTGGGTTCTTCTTGCTGGCTGCCATTCTTGGCCAGTGAATGCTTCAGGGAGCACTTGAATCCAAAAGCTTCTGCTTTCCTGCATGTGTGTGTGGAAATACTTCTGCTGACCTGAAAGCAGGCTTGTGATGATCTGTTGCTTTGCCTGTGTGTGCCTGAAATAAACGTGAAGCTCTCAGCTTAAACCAGCCAGGCGATGCCCTCTGCCACAGCCCGGCAGGCTGCAAGGTGCCGGTTGTGGTATGTGTCTCCGTGCCACGCGGCTGCAACTTTCCCGTCTGCCTTCCCCCAGCCTGGGCTCTGCCGGGTGGCTGGGTCACAGGTTTGCAGTGGGGTTGTTCCAGCAGGGAGAAAAACTGCTGGGAAATGGCTGTTTTGTGGTGTCCCTGTGTCTCTGGGCAGTGTCAGCAAGGAAGTAGGGGAGTCCAAGAAGCATGCCTGCTGGAGAGTATCCCCCACCCCACCCCCCTCGGACTTAATCTGCTCAAGAAGAAGCAGGTTTTGTGTAGGTGAAGCTGTTTCTTGTTTGAAACATAAAACCGCAGCACATGCCAGCTGCAGTTGCTCGGCTGGTGAGTTGGAGTCTCATAAAACACTGGGAGCAGCAGCACTTTCTCTGAAGGGTGTGAAGAACCCAGGGGAGAGAAAAAAATCCTTTCTTTTGGAGGGAAGTGCTGCACTTGGGCCTCCCCCCACCATCCAGAAATGGATCTGGCTTTGGTTTTGAAGTTGTTTTGGAGGATCTTGAGTGCTGCAGACAGGCCTGTACTAGAAGCTGTGCCCAGCTGCCAGCGATCAGTTGAGGAAAGGCAAACCCCTCCCTGGGCAGCCACCTCAGCTTCTGCCCAGCTTTCTGCTTCCTGCTGTTTTTTGAATTGATTTGCCTGGGGGAGGTCGGTGTCCAGCTGGTGGACAGCCTTGCGCTGCTTCTCCTGGACGTGTGTTGGTGGACTCCAGCTGGGAAGGTGGGAGTGGGCTCTGTTGTGGTCGCTGCTGTGCCAGCCCAGCATGACCCAGCTCTGACCACCCTTTGGAGTCTGGGCGGTCGTGTTCAAGAGGCAGCCTGGCCAGGATGGGGTCACGCAGGAAGCAGCTGCTCCGTGGCGATCAACTCTCTCACCTCCTGTTTGTGGTTTTCTTACTGTTTTCTGGCTTTTCAGCTTGAAGTTGGAATGTGACAAACTAGCCAGTGAGAAATCGGAGATGCAGCGTCACTACGTCATGGTAAGGACTGGCCCTGGCAGCCGTGAGAGCGTGGGTGGTGTGGTGGGGACTCTGGCAGTGAGCAGGTGCCCGTGCCTGGGCTTCGCCTGGCCGGAAGCCTTGGCCCCGTGGAACGGCGGGTCTCTCGGCAAGGCTGGCATTGGCTTTTCCGAAAACAGGGCTTTTTATTTTGTGCTGTCTGCATGCCGTGGCTTGTTGAAACGCTGGGACGTAGCAGAGAACTGTTGGATGTAGGGAGTTGATGGGCCCAGTGGCTGACTGGTTGATGGGTGGTGTTGGGGTCCTTGGCCTTGCCACTGGCTGGGTGCTTCACTTTATTCCCTGTGCCCTGGGAGAAGTGACAGCTCTTACACACCTGAGAAGGAGCTGCAAGGTGCTGGTGTGCAGGTGTCTGGGGACTCAGGGAGAGTCATGACCAGTGAAAGACAAAGCAGTGCTTTGAGAAGTCATGAGGCTGGGAAACTCCACAAGCCTGGTGGGAGTTGGAAGCAGAAACAGCCACTGTGCAAGAGCTAAACCCTCTGCCCCTTCTTGTGACCCTGGCAGACTTTGGAGTCATGGTGCTAAGTGCTAGCATGCCTCACTGGTGCATGTGTCCCAGCACAAAGTGTCCAAATCCCAGTGCAGTGCCCAGGCATGAGACGTGGTGCCACATGTGGGCAGCAGGCTTAGCTGTAACTCTCTGAAGAGAAATCTGCCAGTAAACAGCCATGTTCTTGTAGGCAGGGTGACGGTTTGCCTGACAGGTAATGCCTGTCTTCCCACATGAGGAAAAGCCCTTGTAGCAGTGGGGAGGGATGCCAGGCGAGGCTGTGGTCTGCTCCTTTCCTATCAAGGAGTTAACAGGAGGTTGTGATACTGTCCATAAAGATGAGCTGGTGCCTGCTTGCCAGCTGCTGCACCTGCCCTGGAAGGAAAAGATAAGATGTACAAATTAATACAGCAGCTCTTTGGAGCGGAGTTAGGACTTTAAAATCAGAAATAAGGGAGCTGGCCCCCTCCATCCTCCTGTACTGCCAGTGTGTCCAGACTCTGAGGCTACGGAGAGCAAGGTGTGCTTGGCGCTGGGGAGAAGGAGGGGTCGCAGCTTCCCAGGACAAAGCCTGCCCCATTCTCACTGCTAAATGATTGCTTCCTGGGCCTTGCAGTCTGCATGGAGACTCCCATCTCCAGGTGTGGCTGAGATTTTTTTTTCTTTTTTTTCCCCCCTTAATGCTGACAGTCACCAGAGTTGATTCAGGTTACCATCAGCGGGTTGGCAGTAGAGGGGGAGGGCTATTGCCTGTGGTGCAGCAGCTCATGCCTCGCCTGCATGGCTGAGCTGGAGTCACACAGAGCTGCTGTCGCTCCCCAGCACAGCGAGTCATGGGAAGAGAAGAGGAGGGTTTCTGTGAATTTGCAAAGCTGCTACAGCTGCTCTGATTTTTGAATAAGTCACAATTAGCAGCTTGGGGGTCGGGCTCCTGCTTCCTGCTCAGTCTTCAGAATGCAAAGAAGCCTCGAGAGCCAGCAGCGGTGTTAGAGCAGACTGAGATCATGGTGATACCAAGCCAAGCACTTCTCAGACTTGTGGCGTCAGTACCAAAACGCCAGTGATCTTCTCCTTGAATTAAATGAGCGCAGATGTGGATTTTTCTTCCCCTTTGGAAGAGTCAGGATTGCAGCCTGCAAGCTGAGGGAGGAGATTTCTAAACTCTCGAACATCAGCCTTAAAACAGCTTCTTCCAGGGGTCAGGAATTAGCTTCTCCTGCCAACAGATTGCTCTGTAGCTGCCTGTTGCTGCTGTGCAGGGGTTTTCCGGGTGGGTTTTTTGTTGTGGGTTTTTTTTCTCTACATAGCTTCTTCCAAAACAGCTGGAGCCGTGTGCAGCTGGATGTGTTACTTGCTAGATGAAGCCCAGTTGTGATATCTTCCATTTGCTGCTGAAGCAGCCATGTGGGCTTTAGGATGTTGGCCAGGCAGAGCTGTAGAGTCGGGCTGCCTCTCCTTTTGCTGTAGCTGTGGAAGTCTGTGGAGCCCTGAGCCTTTTTGCAGGTTTGAAGCAGCATCACTTGCTCTGACCTTGATGCAGACTGCTGAAAGGTGTCTGTGAGGGGTGTTGCATGGAGCCCAGTTGAGTTCCCGGATCTCTGTCTGCAGCAGTGAGGCTGGAGCAGGGTGAGCAGGGAGCACCTGGGACCGAGCTTCTGCCTTAGACCTGGAGAGGGTCTCTGTGTTTGCCTCCCGCTCTCTTCGTTTCCTAGGGCTGGCCTCTTCGCTCCTATCCTTGCCCACGCTTTGTGGAAGACCTTGCTGGGAAAGCTGTAGTAGTTTCCAGCACTGCTGTGCGGAGCCACTTTATCTGGTGGAGACTTGACTTACAATTTCTTCTGTTCTCTTCTCTCCTGCTCTGCAGTATTACGAGATGTCCTACGGGCTGAATATTGAAATGCACAAACAGGTAGGGGGAAGGCATTTCCACGTGTTCTAATTCCTGTGGAGGGTGGGTTGCCTGCGGTGCTTTGCCCTCTGTCACTTCAGTGGTATTTCAGGAACTAGAAATGCTGTGAACCTTTAAAATGTCAGGGCTGCCTTCAAAATGCAGGGACCCCCCACCTCTCGGGATCGCAGTGCCGGGCTGAGAGCTCCCGCTCTGGGCTGCGGGCACGCTTTGGTTCTGCCCAGGGCCTGGGCAGGTATTTAAGCACCGGACAAGGCAGCGCAGTCGGGGTCTGGAGCTGCAGCTCGGAGTCGATCAGCAGATGCAAACCCAGGGTGGAGGGCAGGAGGTGGGTCCCTCCCACCCTCCCAGGCCTCAGGTGGGGTTCCTGGCCCTGCTGCCTTCCCCCGTGCCCGAGAAGGCTTGTTGTGATTGCCCTGACATGAAAAGCACCTCTGGCTTCACCTGGGCTCTTGCTGCAGTCGGGCCAGAGCGCACTTTTCTTGGGCTGTGGTTAGGTAACGTGATGGCAGACCTTCTAAGAAAGCCTCTTTGTGTTGGAGACTGTGCTGCAGCCTGGATAAGTTTGTTCCTTACCCTCACTGGTGGTTGTTAATTATCCCCAGTGACTAATTACCTGTGCTGTTAACAACATGAGCTTCCTCTGAGCCTGACTCTTACCTGGCTTCAGCTTCCAGTCACAAAGTCGTCTGTGTGTCGTGGCTCAGTTATAAGCCTCTTAGCACAATTCTGCTCCCCACAAAGGCACTTAGTGCCTCTGGTCCCATCACCGTCATTGATAAGCCCATGAGGCTGGTCTCCCTGGGAACACCTGCATCTTGGTAAAGGATCTGAGCCATGAATCCTCACTGCTGTCTCATGAACTGTCTCCCAGCCTAGTCTGCTCCCTTGTGGTGCTGCTGCGGCCCCCTTGTCTGGTTTCAGTGCATGCCTAAACCCTTTGGCTCTATTTCTTTTGACTCCATATCACCGTCATTGATAAGCCCATGAGGCTGGTCTCCCTGGGAACACCTGCATCTTGGTAAAGGATCTGAGCCATGAATCCTCACTGCTGTCTCATGAACTGTCTCCCAGCCTAGTCTGCTCCCTTGTGGTGCTGCTGCGGCCCCCTTGTCTGGTTTCAGTGCATGCCTAAACCCTTTGGCTCTATTTCTTTTGACTCCATTGGAAAGCGATTTGCAAAGG